CATATATATAATATACATAAATATATGAAAAGTTGATGTGGGTACTCAAATGAAAGGTCTCGATGAGTGCAATGTCAGTATGAGCTTATATCTTTAAAAATGTCAATAGTTCACAAGCTACAGGGTCATTTCTCAATTATGTAATATATATTTTAAAGATATAAGCTCATCCCGATCTTACATTCATCAAGAGCTTTCATTTGAGTATCCACATGCATTTTTGATATATTTTTCATACATACATATATATAATATATATAAATATATAAAATATATGAAAAATTGATGTGGGTACTCAAATGAAAGATCTCAATGAGTGTAATGTCAAGATGAGCTTATATTTTTAAAACTATCAATAGTTCACAAGATACTAGGTCATTTTCTAATTATGTAATATATATTTTAAAGATATAAGCTCATTTCGATGTTACCCTTATCAAGAGCTTTCATTTGAGTACCCACATGCATTTTGATATATTTTTCATATATGCATATATATAAATATCTAAAATATATGAAAAATTATTGTGGGTATTCAAATGAAAGGTCTTGATGAGTGTAACATCGGGATGAGCTTATATCTTTAAAAATGTCAATATTTTACAAGATAAAAGGTAATTTCTTAATTATGTTGATAAAAACAGGAAGCCGAAGGTATTTTCCTTACTTTTAATATTGTTCGAAAAAGTCTCGATGACCAAGGACAATAAATGATTGATGGTTGCTGTTTATTGGAGTTGTTTGTGCCTCATAATTTTTTTTTAATATTAAAATCTTCATAAAAACAATCATTAATTTGAGAATCAGACATTTTTTTAATGTTTTGTGGCCCGAAAAAATGAATAATAAATAGTTCTGTTTCCATGTGTTGGTATGATCGATAATGAAACGCGTATATAAAAATATAAAACTTGTAAGCTCATTTTTTATTCAAATTACCGGAATGATTTCCCACTAAATCGCAAGACCAAGACAGATTTTGCTTATCACTAATTTTTAATCATAATTATCCATCAATCGAATCGTTTTCACATTTTCTACAAGGATTCTAGGCCAAACAGTTGATTAGATTAGTAACTTGGAAGAAATTTAGAGTTTTCATTTTTACATGTCCGCGTGGCTATGCTATCAAGTCTTATCAAGACTTATCAAGAGTTAACTAGATTAGGGTTTAAAATTAGGGGTGTGCGAATAATTCGAACTTACAAATTATTCGTTCCGAATCGAATAATTTGAATTTTCGAATTATTCGAAATTCGACGAACAATTCGAAAAAATTCGATTAATTTCAAAAAAATTCGAATTATTCGAATTATTCGTCGGATGTGGATTAATTCGAAAATTCGAATTATTCGGTTCGAATATCAATATTCGATTCGATTCGATTCGATTCGATTCGAACGATATTCGCACACCCCTAGCTTATATCTTTAAAATATATATTACATAATTAAGAAATGACCCTGTAGCTTGTGAAATATTGACATTTTTAAAGATGTAAGCTCATACTGACGTTACACTCTTCGAGACCTTTTATTTTAGTACCCACATCAATTTTTCATATATTTTATATATTTATATATATTATATATATATAAATATATGAAAAATATATCAAAAATGCATGTGGGTACTCAAATGAAAGCACTTGATGAGTCTAACATCGGGACGAGCTTATATCTTTAAAAACGTCCATATTTAAGAAAGTATTATGCAATTTAACAAAATCCATTATTTAATAAAGCAAAATTTTATTTATTTATGGTTCACATAGTGACTGCAAGATTACTAGTTTTTTATTTCTCTATAAAAAGCCAAACTAAACAAACAACAAATAAATTTCGGCATATTTAATTATTGACACAACGATAACGAAAAAGTGAAATAAAAATTACCCTGTTGATTCATGGCGAAACCTCTCTCGAACGGCGAAACTTGTACCGGCTGATTATAGGGGTTATTTTGTTGCCGCGGAAATTGTCCCTGGTGAATTTGTTGCTGTTGCGGTTGTTGTTGCTGCTGCTGTTGTTGCTGTTGCTGCTGATGATGTTGAACAAAATTATTTTGACTTGTGTCCGCTAGAACATTGCTAACATTGGGATACGTTCCAGCAATTTGCGGCATTGAATTTGCGTGACACTGCAACCAACCTGCGATTTAGATAGGGATATTATTGACAACCTCGAGCATACATAAACACATTAGTGTACGATATCCAACGCGCCGTTAAGTAAATACATTTATCGCTGCGGCTCATTTCCTCTTCTACCGGCTATTATGCAACTTTATAAATTTACTCAGCTTTAAATGATACGATTTATTTTTTGGATTTTTATTTTCAGATAAATTACTACACGAAAAATTTTAATTTTTAATTTTAATTTTCAATTTTAGTTGCCTAGACTCTAACAAAATAAAAAGTGAACATCTAACTAAACTACATTATATATATATATATAGTTCTAGATTTTGTTTAGTTACTATTAATAAAGTTCCAGATAACTTCATATCATATCATTTTATTTTATATACATATATATATATATATATGTAATATTATTTTTAACCAACACAGATAAGAAACTCTACAATACATAAACTCGTTTGTGACGTAACAGCAGCGCGCAAGAAGTTGATTAACTGGAATGAAAGGACGGGACAGTGTTACTATTACATGTAACAGTAGGTGATATTCATACGTATGTATATATCTATGTATTTATATAGAAGTATATTTATCATCTCAGTAGACTACAGTGAGTTTAAATTGCCAGACGTCGACTAGAGGTTTCGGTGAAGTTAAGTTGTAAAGGTAGTTAACGTAAAATACAACTGATGTAAATTATTATTCATAATTTATTTCCTGAGATATGATTTATGTCTTTCTGTTGTATCTGTGTCCATTGAGTCTGTGGTAGTTACTATTAGTTATTTTCGGAGGAAAGTTCATTTGCGAGTATATTATGAATAATTAATAATATTCAGTTGGAGCTGAAAATTATTTTTTACAATATTCGATTTTTTATTTGTAACTTCCCGCTTTTAAGATTAATTTTCAAAAGTAGGAAGCTATTAATTTCGATCCGATTTTGAGAAGGCAAATTTTCATTAGATCCAACTATTTCCGACTGAACGTCCGGTCATGTGTGTGTGTGTGTGTAAATAGAATTTTATCGGATGGTATCTTTAGAACGAAACAAGTCTTGATAATATTTATGTGTATTGGTCAAATCGATAGTTAATAGATGAATAGGTGTTGACTTTTTTCAGATTCTAAAAAAATGAGCTACCACGCATTGCAAAAAACTAATAACTTTACGCAGAAAAAATTAAACTGTAAAATTCACTCGGGTTCCGGGTAATTTTTATAGTTTTAAACAGTACAGCGGACATCAAGCACAAATGTAAATATTACAAAACTTAATGTAGAAAGTGTAAAAGCCACTACACGGAAAAATCAACATTTAACTGGTTTCTATGTCGGATGGAACCTAGTTGCATCTATTGTGAAAAAATGTATAGATGGTAATTACTTCTATGTAGATTGTAGTAGGGACAATCTTCGTTTAACTGAGTCCCACCTCGGATTGAACTGAGTTTAACGAAGATTGTCCCTACTACAATCTACATAAAAGTAGTTACCATCAGTACATTTTTTTACTATAGAGGGAACTAGGTTCTATCCAACATGGAAACCAGTTAAATGTTGTTTTTTCCGTGTATTTATAATTTAATATCGAAAATGTGATTAGTAGCTGTCACTATAATGTAAATAACGACTCTCTTATCTTAAGAGTTACAGCTTCAAACAGTAAGGGCCAGTTTTTTAATCCGGGATAAAATTTTATATTATCCGAGATAAAAGTACTGTCAATATAATTAAAAAATAAAATAATTTAGCGACGTGATATTACTCTCAGTTAGTTCTCTATGAATTTGGTCATTTATTTAAATGAAAAATAAATACATATATCATAAAAATAATAATAACCTCTTGTTGTGTCATTTAAATTGTTTTTAAATTAATTAACACAATTATAGATTATTAATAGATATGTCAAATGCAAGATATGAGCCCGAAGAGCTCAAAAGCATAGAACAGCGACCGCTTTAACACATAAATTGTAATTTGGAGCTTGAAGAGCTTGATAACGTTACAAATTCAATTTCAAGCGCTTAGATATGGAATTAGCGGGAAGTCGCAGAGATGGCCTTCAGGATCATCCGTTTTCCTAATTTTTATTTTATTTATTTACAGTCAGCAAGTTGTCACAGTTGGAGATTAATATTTCTGCGACATGCGGCTAATTTTTATTTATTTTAATTAAAAATAACTAACTGAATTCAGGGAGAACTACTCGTACGCAATATCATTGTACTGAATTATTTATTTTTATCATTATATTGACAGTACTTTTATGTCGGATTGAAAAATTGCCATTTTAATATATAGTCTATACTATGAGGAGAAGAGGAAGGTCTCACACTTGGAGAGTTTAACATTTGAAACAGTAAAAATTCTACTCTTAAAATATATATTTAACCTGTCTAAGCAAATCAATAATTATAGTTTGATTTTTAGCGTTGCGTTTAAAATTTACTATTTTACTTTGTAAATATTGACGTTGCTTGTATAGAAAATTTAGTAACTGTAGTTTATATCATTTTTTAGGTACGAAATGATAAATATCAAAGTCAAAATTCTTAATTATTATACTTAAACATTTTGGACATTCACATAGCGAATATTACTGTTTGAAAAATAGTATTTTCTTCCATGTAAATAATAAATTGTAGCATTTGAATGATAAATATTATAGTGATTGTTAAAATCACGAGTTTATTGTTTGAAACGGTAATTTTTCCAGTAATTTATCATTATTAATTATTATTATAAATCGACTATTATGTATTAGTTTACTTTTTTCCGTGTGAAGAACCTAGGTAGGTTTGATTCAATAATTTTTTGTCTTGAAACTCTCTTTCTTGAAGAAACCATTAGAAATTTTCAATTCTTGAATCAAGTAGATTTTTTTCAGTGTATAAGCTCACAAAAGTTGTTTATTTATTTATTTAATATTGGGAAAATCATAATAAAAAAACTAATAAAATTAAATATTGTTCTAGCTTAAAAAAAATGGATAATGAAGACAGGATTGAATTAGTAGAAGAAATAATCCCCGAAATAGTCCACAATCGTTGTTTTTGCGATCCGGGATCTCGCGAATTCATTGAATTGGATTCGGTATCAATTGACAAAGTTTCAGAGGGATCTTCGGAAGTAAACGATAAAAAATGTGAATTACTGCGTGGTAAAATAGTGATAAAATTCTCTTCAGAGCCAAAAACATTTTTCGTTATAATAAAATTGCTCAGCCAGCAAGCAACCGAGGATGATGAAGACTATAAATATTTTGCAAATGAAGAAATGTTTTATAACAAGATGACATTGGAATACAAACTGGATATTTATCCCAAGTTGTATGTTGCTGACATGGGTCGATATGGTCGTCCAATCATAGTTATAGAAGATCTTCAGGCTGTTTCCGGATATAGACGCGTTCATTCTAAATTGGATGAGGATCACTTGAGGATGTGTTTGAAGGCGATTGCGAGGTTTCATGGCCGTGGCCTCAGGCTCAAATGCGATAAATTCAATACGTTCAGAGAGTTCTATGCCAAGTTGCTTCATACAAACAACATTTCGGATTACAGTTTACACGTCAACCTCACCAACAAGTAATCACTTTGCTCAATTGTTATTATTATTCCATTATAATACAATACAATACAAATTATCGGTAATTATTCCCGGTATTTTTGTTCCAGAGTGGCGCAATATTTAGACGAGCACCCGAACGTGGATAGAAGAATATTAAAATTATTTAAAGAGTTTAAACAGGAGGCTGCAAATAAAGACACTGAATTTTTAACTATTTGTAATGGAAGTGTCGACTTGAATAATTTATTATTCCGGTATGAGAATAGCAAGCCAATGGATGTTAAAATCATAAACTGGGGGTCCATGAGGTACTCTTCGCCGGTGATCGATTGGCAAATTATCACCTCCAGTCAAATTGGAGAAAATCTTTCGAACATTGATATCCAAAGACTGCTTGATGATTACTTAACTGTGCTTATTGAAGAATATCCTGGGATAGTTGATAATGTCAAATAGTTATTTGCGATTGACTATTATTGATTTTTGACGGTTGTTTTAATGTTGACTGACATTTGATGGGGATTTTTAATTAGAATTACTGTTATTTATAACTAAAGTTCTCATGTTTAACTGAGCGATTTTTTAGTTTATTTTTTTTATAAAAGTTAAGGAGTTTGATAATAATAATAATTGTTATTAAATAGAGAAAAAAGTTTATTATATACCATTAAGAAAAACTAGCAACCTTGCAGTCACTTTGTGACTGCCGTGACTTGTGTAATATAAATAAATGAAATTTGGCGTTATTAAATAATGACTTTTGTTAAATTGCACTGTACTTTTTTAATTATTGACATTTTTTAAGATATAAGCTCATCTTGATGTTACACTCATCAAGAGCTTTCATTTGAGTACCCACATGCATTTTTGATATATTTGTGGGTATTCAAATGAAAGGTCTTAATGAGTGTAACATCAGGATGAGTTTATATCTTTAAAAATGTCAATAGTTCAGTAGATACAAGGTCATTTCTTAACTATGTATTTGGTTGTTCTCTTCATAATATATTGAAAATAAACTTGAAAATTTGATGAAAAAAAATCAACTTATTAATAAAAAAAAAATAAATAAATGAAAAAGTTTTCTTATTGTTGAAAGTAAATAAATTATAAACTCTTAATAAAATTTATTTTAATGACAAAAATAAAAATAAGTAGAATAAATAAAATAAAAATTTTAAAAAGTATAAAAAGTTTAATATAGATGAAAATGGAATCAAATGTTCTGGGAGGCTTATATTAGTGCCGAGAACGGTAATGGCGATGACGGGAGTGACAGAGGTAGTGGTTATTGTATTTGATAAAATGAGAATCGCGGGAGCATTCACTCCTAATTAGACGAGGAAATAATGAAGCCTTAGAGGAATAAGTTGATCTAAAAGTTTCGGTAGTTATCACTTCTTCGTTTTAATTTACCAAGTTGACTATGGGCGTGAAAGTGAGTTTAGTTTGGTGGGTTTAGAGGCGGTGAAATGAAACCCCGAGACGGAAAAGGAGACCAAGGGATCAACGGATGAAAACGGGGTCGGTGTGCTCAGTAGAAGGCATCTAGTAGGGGTTAGCAGAAACCAGTCCAATGTCTCCTTCATCCTGTGAACAAAATGACCAGGGTCAGAATCGTGTTTCCAAACTGGGGAAACTAATTTGCATCTGAGATATGAACGTCTCCTGTTTGTGATGCTCAAAATCAAGTTACCTCGTTCAGATTTACCGGACACACAGCACACCACAACACTAAATCCTGATCTCGTTATTGTGGGATGATAAAGGAATACTTTTACTTGCTTCTGTTTGTTTGCTTGCTTCTTCATATAATCCTATTGAGACCGCACGAATCACTGTTAATTTTCACCTGAAATTTTAAAAATCCATTTTATTAATTATAATTTACAGTATGTTTAATCGAAAGACTAATTTTGATATATATACTTTACATTTTTATAAACAATTCAAGCAATTTTGTGAAAAAAAGATATTTTGATAATTGCTTTAATTAATCAAAAAATAATATTTTATAGATAAAATTTTGCTTTATTAAATAATGATTTTTGTTAAATTTCATTGTACTTTCTTAACAATTGATGATATTTAAGATATAAGCTCATCTTGATGTTACACTCATCAAGAGCTTTCATTTGAGTACCCACATGCATTTTTTCATATATTTTACATATATAACATATATAATATATGAAAAATATATAAAAAATTGATGTGGGTACTCAAATGAAAGGTCTTGATGAGTGTAACATCAGGATGAGCTTATATCTTAAAAAATGTCCGTAGTTGACAAGATACAAGGTCATTTTTTAATTGTTGACATTTTTGATGATATAAGCTCATCTTGATGTTACAGTCATCAAGAGCTTTCATTTGAATACCCACATCATTTTTTCATATATTTATATATATTACATATATACAATATATATAATATATGAAAAATATATGAAAAATTCATGTGGGTACTTAAATGAAAGCTCTTGATGAGTGTAACATTGGGATGAGCTTATAACTTTAAAAATGTCAGTTTAAAAAAATTACGTTCTTAATTCAAGTTATTGTTTAATAAATTTTTGTGTTTTAATAAAATAAATAAAAAAAATCTCTTTACCCAAAGGCACGGCACTAAAATATTTTTATCACCAGCTCACGAAGCACTGATAGTGATTTAATCAATAAATCGAACACGCTCACGATCCCGTGAACTTGTCGCCTGGGGATTTGATCGTCTTCGAGCGTTCGGAGGTGTATAAGTGGCGCTGAGCCACATCATAATAGCAAATATTATCACAAGAATACAAAACGAAAAGAGTATACTTCTCCCGCAACATGCCACTTTGACGGCCACTTCCACTACTTTGGTACAGGGTGGAAGTGCTGAAGTAACTCGTGTCGGTGATTTATCCGTGATTAATTTACGCGGCTGTGGTCTGTGGTTAACGAGATGCTTCTACCGCTGATGCTCGTGATAAAGCTTTACAATTCACAACAAAATAGATTTCGTCAACATCAGGGGCATTCAATTAAATTAAAGATTAATTTTAATAGTTGGTATTTAAATTTGGCTTCAAAAAATTAACTCTTAACTTGTACAAATTTTAGACACAACAAATTGTAATTGATTTTATTTTATATTTTATTTCAAGTGTTTATGTTATGACATGATGATTAATAATGGTTGTACTTTTTGTGTTGCCTAGTTCACATTACAGTAGTCATTTCATAAATAAATAGATTAGTGTGACTTTGTATTAACTTCATATTGAACAATTAAAAACTAGCAACCTTGTTACTATGTGACTGCAATGTTTTGTGAACTATAAATAAAAAAAATTTTGGTTTATTAAATAATGATTTTTGTTAAATTGCACTGTACTTTTTTAATTATTGACATTTTTAATGATATAAGCTCATCCCGATGTTACACTCATCAAGAGCTTTCATTTGAGTACCCACATGCATTTTTGATATATTTTTCATATATACATATATATAATATATATAAATATATGAAAAATTGATGTGGGTACTCAAATGAAAGGTCTCGATGAGTGTAACATCGGGATGAGTTTATATCTTTAAAAATGTCAATATTTCACAAGATACAAGGTAATTTCTTAATTATGTATCTAGAGATAGAGCACTTTCGAATGCAGCCTAAATACTTATCATAGTAGAGTATCGGTGACTCTAAATTTATTTTAGAAGACGATAATTTTTTTTTCTTAAAGTAAAATTACACTGCGCTAAACACAAATTTATACATCCCCTCCTCTGTGCCTTTTATCATACAATCTTGTGTTGGTTGTATCCGTGCGAAATAAACATACGTCGGAGTTCGATTAAAACTTTATAATTGAATAAAAAAACAATTTTTCCACATTATTTATCGAGCGGACGCTGAGTAAACAGAAAGAGATTATTATTCTAACAGACAAAAAGAGTTGAGACTAGAGATAGTTGAGGAAACAATGAAATTAATTTAACTGAGACGAAATAATTAGATTTTTTACTCTTTTTATATAATAGAGTTCACTCTTAATTATCTTTATTTGAAATAAAGTGAGATTTATGTTCGATAGAAATGAATAAAAAAAAAAAAAATAAAATTATCGAATTCGTTTATAAATATTTACCTATTAAAGAGCGGTGTGTCACGATAAATAACTTATACTGAAGAAGATTAAATTACGGGAAAACGAAAATAACGAAATAAGAAATAATAAAAAAAATTTGATTAAATAAGTTTCAACGAGCTCGTACTCTGTTAAGTTTCAGAGTGACAGTTTCTAAAGACATTTTTTAAATTAATATTTTTCTTTGGGAAGAAAAAAATTTAATGAAATCAGAAAAAAAAAAAATTATTTATTTTACATACTTATATTTGTACTGAAAGAAATTTATACTTAATTAGGACTTTAAATGTTTTTATTCACTGGAAAAAAAAAATAGTTGGAATTCTTGAGGGTGGTAAATTTTTTTTACGAACAAATTATCCGTCAAAAAAATATATCTTTTGAGAAATGTGACGTGGGTAGTGTGCGAAAATATGTCACGTAGTTGATGTATGCTCATAAACTTTTATATGTCTCTCATATCAAGTGTACGCGTCATAACGTCGTATTTAATTCTTCTGGCTTACATTCCGGGAACTTCGAAGTCGTCATAGTTACATTCATTCATATTTTTCTACCATTCTTTTGTGTTGCTTCACAGACTTACAACCTACATCTGCCAATTATTCAAGTACACATAACACTAAAAATTCCCGTTTTGCTCCTACTCTGACTCCAGATATTACAAACGTAGACATCCACATCCTCATCCTCGTCCTCATCATCAAACTTCATTCCAGTACACTCTATAATTCAGATGAGACTTCGTTTTTTTTTTTTTTAAATATTTTCGTACTATCATTTCTCATTTTTTTTCCCCCATGCCATTTTTTTGCTGCACTATTTGAATCCAAATATTTGCCAACAATAATCGTTAAATTTAATTATACGCGATACTCTCTCGGGTATAGTAGTATAAATGTCATGCTTTTTTGGCGATAAGAATTTTACGTTGAATAAAAAATTTTAGATCAGTCATGAGGAAAATATTTATATTAAACTGTATAGATAAAAAATATTTATAACATTCTATAAATTTTTTAGAAGAAAGAACACTTTTGTTATAAGAATTTAAATTGGTGGAAATTTTCAATTTTTTTTTCTTTAGCTTATAAAATCAATTATTTTTGTAGTATTTTTTTTTTTAATCAAGTTATTTTTTCAACAAAAAAGAAAAATTGTTTTTATTGAAAAATTTCCAATTTGAATTCTTCTAACAAAAATGCCTTTTTTTCAGTCTAAATTTTTAAATGCAATTATTTATTTAAAGATAAGAAATTTAATGATAATAACAATAACAAAATATTATTTGTAATATTTTTTCCGCTTGCGCAGATT